AAAATAACCTTCAATGGCCCTCGGTCTGGAGCTCCATGCAAGATTTGGCCTCATGGGGTAAGGATGATCATGAGAGAAGTGAAGGATCAGCCCAGAACTACATGGAAGGAGCTTGTGAATGATCTCAGGGCAGTTGGGACCACAGTCACCCAACAAACCATTGGTAACACAATACATGGATTGAGATCCTGCAGTGCCCGCAAGGTCCCCCTCCTCAGGAAGGCCCATGTACAGGCCCGTCTGAAGTTTGAATGCTAAAAAGGTACAGGCCGACTTTGCCGCATTGAGGGGCCAATGGACGGGGCCACGTATTGTAAAATCTTGGTTGAGAACCTCCTTCCCTCAGCCAGGACACTGAAGATGGGTCGTAGATGGGTCTTCCAGCATGACAATGACTCAAAACATACCGCCAAGGTAACAAAGCAGTGGCTCAAGAAGAAGCACATTAAGGTCATGGAGTGGCCTAGCATCTCCAGACCTTCATCCTATAGAAAATGTATAGAGGGAGCTGAAAATTTGAGTTGCCGAGTGACAGCCAAGAAACCTTAAAGTGACATTAAACCCTCAGATTTTTTAACATAAACCAATACTGTAATGTGCGCCTTACTGTAATCCATGGTAGTTTCCCTTCTCTTTGCTGCTCTTCCTTTTAAATCTGTATCTCTTCTCATGCTGGGGGAGAACTTCTGTTTTGCAGCAGACTGTCTTGTCTCTGGAATGGATACATGGTGTCTGTGTGCAGGTTCACAACCTGAGCCAGCACTACAGGAAGAGGCACTCTGCTGCAAAGGGAAGTTCTCCCCCAGCATGAGAAGAGAAGAGGATTTAAAAGGAAGAGCAGCAAAGAGAAGGGAAACTACCATGGATTACAGTAAGGCGCACATTACAGTATTGGTTTATGTTAAAAAAATATGAGGGTTTAATGTCACTTTAAGGATGTAGAGAAGATCTGTAAAGGGGACCAAAATCCCTCCTGAGATGTGTCAACCACAAGAATGTCTTGCCAACAAGAGTTCCCCACCAAGTACTAAGTCATGTTTTGGTTGGGGATCAAATACTTATTTTACTCACTGAACTGCAACTCCATTTATAACATTTGTATCATGCGTTTCTTCTGGAATTTTAGTTGTCTGTCTCTATCATGTAAAATACACAGATGATAAACATTATAGACCTTTCATTTCTTTGTAAGTGGGCAAACTTACAAAATCTGCAGGGGATCAAATCATTATTTGCCTCATTGTATAAAAAAACTGGAACAACCAATGAGGCTTCCGCTAGATGTACAGAAGTTTATGGTGGAGGAGATTGCATTCTGTAAGCTTTCTAATCTCACACTGATCAGAATGTTAATATTCTTATAAAACTGTCTCACCTGTTTGTACGCAACACACGATAACACTTTATAGCTATACATAGAGAAAAATGTTACACACAAACAAAAAAAAAACAAAACGATGCAGAATCTGAAACGTCTTGTCCTTTCGAGCGTTAATTTCATGCAGAGAACAATATGCCCATTAATTTAAGCTTCATTAGTTTTCTTTTACTCTAAACTTGAGTTTCTTGTTAATAAGTAAGCCCTTGGGTCACACTATGAAGCAGTCTCATTACACACGGTATACGGGGTGGTTTGAGTGAGTGAGTGAGAGCCAATTTCAGCTACATAAAGAATGTCGTTCTGTGGGTATATTAATTTAAGCATAGCCAGCTCATCCCCCAAACATGGACCAAGAGTAACAGAGGAAAAATTATGATTTGGGTATTACTTATAATCACTCTGCTCAGTAAATATGCTCCAAAAAAATGTAAGTGCTGAACATTCTAGGTGCCAGAAACACAAAAATGAAAGCAAAGAGTGTAGAGGAGCCCTTTTGAAGAGAGTGTCAGGACAAAGGCACCATGACAACTATAACTCGCATAGGCAAGTACTAAGGGATCCCAGAACAAGGGAGAGGCAACACTAAAGGATCCCAGAACAAGGAGCATGAACCCCCAACAAATCAGGAGAGCAGCCTAGGGTGACAATGCTGCTTCACCGTCACTGCAATGGAGCACCGTTGTCACCCCAGATGTATAGTGACGAGGACTTTCAATTATGTGATCCCCAATCCTGTGGCAATCCGTGCTTACTTCTCCCCCACCGCTTCACTTTGGCTTGTGGTGTGTCCCTCAATGTCCTCACGTATGACACAAGGCTAATATTTCCATACACTGACCTGAAGAAGGCCAAAAAGCCTGAGACAGTTGTATGCACTTTTAAATAAACTGCTTTATAATATTAGACTGCAAATGTGCTGGAAGCCTAGCTACTGAGTCACTGCTGGGAGGATGACCAGGGAAAGCCGAGCTGGTGAGGGGAAAAACTTGGACATCTTCAGTGTTTCTGCTGTGAACTTTGAGTATGAATTGCTCCACAGTGTCAACAGCAACTGAGGTCAGAATCTTGGAAAATGTGCGGTAAATTTCCAGTATAGTGGGGAATGCGAGTCTCAACTCTTTTTGCCATGATGCATCACTGAGATCTGATTGCTCAAGCTCTGTAACATCAGGGCAATGGAAGGGCCCTTAAATACAGAGTGAATGTTCTCACCCTAGGAAGTGTGTTATTCATGGGATTACTAGGTAGATAAGAAAAAAGCCTGAAAACCACCAAAACGAATGCAGTTTCCACACCTAAGGACTAGTAAACTGCAATATATGTTTTTGGTTTAGTTATCCTTTAAGGGATCTTGGAACAAATATGTGCTGACATGATAGGATCTCAAAACAAAGGAGGGTTGATACTGAAGGACCTTAGAACAAGGCAAGCTGGTATTAGGAACCTCAGATCAAAGGAGAAGAGTATGCTAAAGATTCCAGTAAAAGGTGAACTAACCCCCCACGGACACAAGCATTCAGCCTATCGATGCCTAGGGAACAACTGAAACATCTGAAGAAAAAAGGAAAACGGACAGACTGTTTAAAATGCAACAAATTCATTTCACCGCTGAATCCCTACAGGTATCCACTGTCCACAAAACGAGCCGTCAGAGATAAACTGCTATGCAAAGTATTACTCTGTATGTGAATAAGTACGGTGCACCTTGTTCATTCAGAGAGATTGACTGGAGTTGTTCTCTCAGCAGGTCTCTGCACACAGAGATGGCACAAGCCCAACATGCCATTTTTACTATGAAACTGGTTCTGGCAAAGTGTCAAATGACTGGTGAAAGTATACACTGAGGAGGTGGCACAGAAAAACAAGCATCAGAACACAATGTCTCTTGGAATCTTATCAGAAATCCAGTAACAAACCACTGACTGTTCACCTAAATGACTGCTATGTGATTACGATGCCTAAATAACTCGGCAGTTCTCTTCAAGCAGCTGCTGAGAAGCCTTCTGCCATGCTGGAGTCGTTTATGGAGTGGCTTACTTCTATCCTGCAGGCATATGGAAAAGTAAGCTGTGATATGTCAAAATGCTAGAGGGCATAATAAAGGATTATCTGGTAGAATTTGTTCAGGAAAACGGGATAGTTAATGACAATCAGCACGGGTTCAGGAAAGACCGTTCCTGCCTAACTAACTTGCTAACTTTTTATGAGGGGGTGAGTAGAGATATGGACGGAGGTAAGCCGGTAGATGTGGTATATCTGGATTTCTCAAAGGCTTTTGATACGGTACCACACAAACGCTTGCTACACAAGCTGAGGGCTATGGGCATAGATGAGGTGGTGTGTACGTGGATAGAGAACTGGCTACGGGAACGTGTCCAGAGGGTATCTGTAAATGGCACCTTTTCAGACTGGGCTAGTGTAATGAGCGGGGTGCCTCAGGGTTCTGTGCTGGGTCCCATATTGTTCAACTTATTTATTAATGACATCGGGGAGGGTGTTAACAGCGATATTTCCGTGTTTGCGGATGACACCAAAATAGGGAGGGTAATAGACACGGACTTAGACACTATAACATTACAGGAGGACCTGGATAAAATAGGGGGAGGGGCATTAATGTGGCAGATGAGGTTTAATGTCGATAAATGCAAAGTAATGCACTTTGGAATTAAAAATAAACAAATGGGTTATACAATTATGGGTATGCCGCTGGGGAAGTCAGAAATGGAGAAGGATTTGGGGGTCATTGTAGACCACAAACTGAAAGGTAGTTTGCAGTGCCAGGCTGCTGTAAACAAAGCTAGCAGGGTCTTGTCCTGTATTAAAAAGGGGATGTATTGCAGGGACAAGTCTATAATTTTGCCACTTTATAGATCATTGGTTCGACCTCATCTGGAGTACGCGGTCCAGTTCTGGTCACCAGTACTAAGAAAAGATGTCCTTGAGTTGGAAAAAGTCCAGCGAAGGGCAACCAAACTAATTAGGGGTATGGAGGACCAGAGCTACGAGACGAGGCTACTAAATTTAAACATGTTCACATTAGAGGTGAGGAGATTAAGGGGGGATATGATTTCCATGTACAAAATGTTTAATGGTGGTAGCAACATTAGCGATAAACTGTTTAAAATTAACTCCGTTACAAAAACTAGAGGCCATAACCTAAAATTGGTGGAAAAAAAATTCCAGCACAAGGTGCGAAGGGGGTTCTTCACAGTAAGATCAGTTAGGGTCTGGAACTCACTGCCACAGGCGGTGATTTCAGCAAATAATGTGGAATTGTTCAAGAAACTTTTGGACGATTTCTTAAGGGACCGTAATATACAGGGGTACAGGTAATATACAGGGGTACAGGTACTCCTAGAATGAGATCCTAATAGGTTGGACTTGATGGACTAATGTCTTTATTCAACCTCAAATACTATGTAACTATATATGGCCTTGTGAAGTCCAGTATCAGCTATTGCGGTCCTATCAACTACTTCAAACGGTTTATTAATTCTCACACTTTAGGCAGATCTGCTTCCCGAGACCCAATGGCCTAAGGCGTGATCAACCTTCCCACCCTGCTGTCTGCCCAAAAACAATAAGCCCTATGCCCGCACTGCATAGGTGACGAATCTACCTCTTTATGGGAATCCTTGTGAGCCTCTAGAGTCTTCATGATCGTCAACTCAGCATAATTTTTAAACCTGGCTGGCTGGTTCCTCAGGATTTCTCGGAGTACTCGTAATGCGAGAGCTCGAATAGCATGCTGGGAAACAAGAATAGAAGAGTGAATATCTAGTAGCAAGAAAATGCACAATGTTTAAAGGCACAAAACTGATCCAATCTATGACAAATACCATTCAGACAAGTCGACTACAAAAAGCTTCACTGAAGGGTGCAAAGATGTGAACACAAATACCCCTCAAAAACGTATCCAGAAAGCTCTCTGAAATAATATATATTTGTGATAACCGCCACAATCTGTATTTTTGGTTTAGTGATTAAGGAATTCAGAAGTCAGTTGCCTGTTTATCTTAAAGCAAACCCCGATGCCTCAGTTTAATATTAAAACACCCACAAATAACGATTGCAGAACTCACATCTTTATCTCCGAGAGTCTCCAGGAGAAGAAGGAGAATAGTTTTGAAGTGCTCCTCCCAAACACCAAGGTTGTCTTCTCTAGTTATCTTTAGCAGTTCACAGAGGGCACCTTTCCTTTCCTCCACCCGCTCATTGTGATTGGACAGTTCTTTCAGCAGGTCGGCCACCAAGTCAGAGTGGTCAATAGGAACTGTAAGAGAATTAGAAGTGCAAATAGTGGTCAGCATGGGGTGTGAGCAGAGGAATTCGCTAGAAAAAAAAGTGTGCTGGTCACAACTAACCATCACGCAGCTGGTCCATGTCATCATCAAACACTGCTTCCTTAAGTGCGGTCTTGTCATAGCTATTGATAGAGTCTGAGTAGGGGTAAGGGCTGTACTCTCGTCCACGTGGACCGGTAAACGCGCGAGGCGGTTGTGTGTTCAGCAGTGAGGTTTTGTTGTCTAGAGCCATTCGTCCTCCTTCCACAACATCTGATCCTCCGCGGAGATCGCTGACAGGGGATGCCATTCCGGCTTCTCGGGAGACCTGTGATGTAGAAAATGTAATATGGAAAAAAAAGTCTTTGGACCTTCTGGAATCATATGTGGTATAAAGCTACAAAAAACTAAGTTCATGAATAACACCTAAAAGATGTGGAGATCACAATGGTGCATGATACTATAATGACCAGGGTATAGGGTATGCTGAACTTGGGGGGGACCTTAACTGTTCCCTAAATCTTTAGACCCCCATAACTAACAGATCTTGGGGGGGCTAAATGGTCACCAGCAAAAAGATCCAAAACACAAATACCGTTTGCAATTCTTTTTCTCAAGAAAGATCTTTTCCATTAAATCAGCTGGGGGAAGGGGAGGGATTTTAATAATTTTGCCAATTTCCGGAGTTAGGCTTTTAAAATATTTATAGACAGAACTTGTTTACTTTAGTTTTGGATGGAAGGAGGACATGATAAACATCTTATTTACTCCGTCTGAGTCACCTTTATTTTACACAGTACTTACCAAGTCATCCTTCCTTCCATCTCGCTTAACGGGCTCATTTAGATCCTCTTGGCTGCGGAAGCTAAATTTCTCAATGGCTTCGGTGACGCCGCGGAGCGAACTATAAATTTCATCAGAATTCAGATTTTCCGTGTCGTAATCTAGAAGGCTGGAAGCGAAATAAGAAAATTAAAACAAAGACTGAAATGCGACACAGGACATCAGAAGTGCAGCGATGGCCCGACAAGCAGAGTTTTCCCAGCAGCTGGAAGCATGATGGAATGAATCTGAGAGACAAGCCGGGCCTAATAGGTGCAAGTCCCGCATTACCACTGCATAGAAGAGACATCCTGGAATATGAACCCAGCATTTAATGAATGGACAATGCATATAGCAATTGATGAAAAAGTATCATTCATGCTTGTGTAATATGTAATCTATAATTCAGTCAAAAGGAGAATTCTGCAAATTATAATGAATGTGCGTTCCAGCTGTTATCAATTTGTAGCTTGGACACATACAATGAGATTTAAGCTTCAACAAGCCCGCAAAACCTTCCCTGTAATCTGGCACTAACCACAAGATATACAGTCCTACATTTGGCAGTCATTTACCATGTTGTCTTGCCATTATATACTGTAGTATAGATCTGGGAGATTGTCAGTCTGTATATTAACTATATTTTTGTATAGCGCATGCAATTTTTTAGCATACAATATCAGTATCAGAAGGATGGCTATTGTACAGTTAGGGCTGGGGGGTTATAGTATATAGAAATACTTTTTGCTTTCTGTGTCCCATTGGGGAGATGATTAGAAGAACCTTACTTCCTGAAACCAAAATAAGAGAAAATCTCTCCAAAATATGGAATATGGCCTCTTATGAGGCCACTGGAACATGTTGCCCAATTAGAAGATTTTTCCTTCTATTCCTGTTCAAAATTGTCTTCTGTCTCGGTGATAATGGTCACCAAAGACAAATATAGGAGGGTGAATCTCCCAAACGCCAATACTAACAGCAATAAAACCTGACAACCTTTTAAGTACAGCCCCATTGGCTTTAGACACACTTTAATGGCAGGTTTAAGTTGACACGTTTAGGTGATTGGGTATAATTATAGCGGTTTTTTTCATGTACCATCTAGTGATGCCACACTTTAATGAGCTGGACTCGTTTTGCTGTGGCTCCTGTACCAAAAATAACTGTGCAAACATATTCCGACACATAAACCCAGTGCACACAGTTCAAGGATGGACAGAAAATAAAAACAAAAAACTTGGAAACCAGAAGATCCAATCTAGTAGCACGCTTCTGATAATGCTGCAGCCTTGGTTCTGTGAAGGCTTTCACACAGAAGGTGACCTGCGTTTACTGCAAAGTTTTTCTGCCGTGGTCTGCGGTGCCTCAGGTGGATTCTACATCACTTCATAGCTAACCCATCTGGACTGAATATTAACCTCAGACCAGCAAGACGCACAAGCATCAATTTTTTTTAGATCCTACTGATTAAAGGAGATCTATGGGGTCAGTGTTTTTCCCCATAGTTCTCCTTAGGGTAACAGGAGGACACAAACTAGCGTCCTCCCGTTACCCTAAGCTCAGTATACCACGAGCTACAGCTCGCCGCAGCCGGGGCGGATCCCGACGTAGATGACGGGGATCGCCCAGCTGCGTGAGTGACAGCTGGCTCTGCCTATCTAGAGGCAGAGCCAGCTGTACCCGCCCCCTCCCCCGTCCGTTCCGCCAGTCAGCACTGGCAGATCGGAGCGGGGAGAGGGGAATCCAGCCCCTCCCCCTGTCACGGCAGAGAGCCATGACAGGATCGAGAGGTGAGCGAACCCGGTATGTGTTCGCTCACTTCCCGATCTACTGAGCCGACCTGTGACAGTGTCATTGTCACAGGTCGGCTAGAACTATGAGGTGAGTGGAAATCACTCATCTCATAGTTCTCCTTTAAGGACTTGCTTTTCCTACTCAATGTTAAAACTCCATCAAAATGAACTGGAAATTGTTTGACTTGACCAATATCTCACTGCCAAACAAAAACATGATTCAAGATTGAAAAACTCTTGCACACATGGTGCCATTTTTCTTACATGTGGCTGAAATAATGAAAAAACCCGTCGGGCCCTCCTATACCTCGATTAAAAGATGAAAGTTATCTATTTTCCTTAAAAGCACATTGCTCCTGGAGTGTTAATTTCTATGTAGAGAGTCTGAGATCTTTCCACAACCAGGTGCTTTCATTTATATCGTGGATATTACCAGCCCCACTGCAGCAAAATGAGTCTCAGCAACCGGCAATAAAGCCATTAAGGCACCATCAGGAACCAGAGCAGTGTGCATGACTTCAGGCCATGATTGTGAGAATGAGAAGTGCAGGCTGTAATGTTAAAGCAACAGAGGTTTCATAAATCTACAGCTTGGAACTGCAGAAATGAGCACCTAGAAGGGGCAATAAATATGCAGAAATGGTTCATATACCCAGGCACTGATTTCACAGCTCATAATATTAAAGGAGAACTATGGGGTCAGGGTTTTTCCCCATAGTTCTCCTTGGGGTAACGGGAGGACACAGACTAGCGTTCTCCCGTTACCCTAAGCTCAGTATATAGGGAGCTACAGCTCGCGGTATACTGAGACGCCGCACCTGGAGCGGATCCCGACGTAGCTGGCGGGATCTGCCCAGCTGCGTGAGTGACAGCTGGCTCTGCCTATCTAGAGGCAGAGCCAGCTGTACCTTCCCCTGTCCGTTCCGCCAGTCAGCGCTGGCAGATCGGAGCGTGGAAAGGGGAATCCAGCCCCTCCCGCTGTCAGCTAGAACTATGAGGTAAGTGGAAATCGCTCATCTCATAGTTCTCCTTTAATGGCATCTTGTCACTTAGGTTATGTGGTCAAACGTTTATGGACAACTGACCATCACACTTATACTATGTGGCCAAAAGTCTGAAACCCCCCTCTCCAAATGCCTGGGTTTAAGGTGTTGCCAGTAAAGACATCTTAGACCATTCTGCTCTTCCAACCTTGTGACATCAGTTAGCAGAAGGCCCTTTTCTGCTCCAGCATGACTTGTGCTAATGGGACCAGTCCGGGGGAACTCGAGCGCCCCACACAGAGACCTCACCTCAACCCTATGAACTCCTTTTAGATGAATTTAAAAAGAAGACTGCGAGCCTGCAAGTCTTCTCATGCAACATAAGTACCTGGACCTCGCAAATGTTCTTTTGGGTGAATGAACACAAATTCCCACAGGCACACTCCAAAATCTTTTGGAAAGCCTTCCTACAAGAGTGGAGGACAATATAGCTGCAAGGGGGAAACCAAGTCCATATTAATGGCCATGGTTTTGGAATGTGATGTCCAACAAGCTCACATACTGTGTCCACAAATGTTTGGCCATACAGTGTATTTTTATAATCAATGTCTTCACACTTTCCATGTTATTCTTCGAGGGGGAACTGGTTCACAAGGCAAAACCAGAGCTAGGAACATGGGCGGAGCACTTTGTCCTTTTTGCATTGTGTGCTAAAGGACCTTGCCCCAGCACTAGGTAGAGGGCATCAGTCTAAGTTTATTTGCCCTTTAAATTGTAATTTACGTCAACAGACTTTAAATATTCAATGTATCCCGAGGATAAAAAAAAAAAAAATGGGTCAGAGGGTCATGTCAGATAAATAGAAATGCCACATTTAGCAAATACTGTTGCTTTAACAATGAGAATTACCTTATTCTTTTAAAGGAGAAAGCGGCAGCCAGGCATGCAAGAGTCCCTAATGGATGGCACACGATGGAACAAAAGGCATTCAGTAATGAATGGGTGATCTGGTGTCACAATATTCATTTTTTGTTTTTTTTTTTACAAATTATCAGTATAGTGAACAAATCCACAATCAGTTAATGAAAACCAACTAAACACATGAGAGACATCGATAGGATGGTTTGCATTTGTGATCTCTATAAACTATTTATCTCATGGGTAAGGGTGGGTGACGGTCAAACGATTCCCCATTTCTCATAAGGAGATGACAAGCTGATATCAAGAACTGCGATTTACAGACTAAAAAAATAGTCTTGAAGTGACATTAAACCCTCAGACTTTTTTTTACCATAAACCAATACTGTAATGTGCACCTTACTGTAATCCATGGTAGTTTCCCTTCTCTTTGCTGCTCTTCCTTTTAAACCTTATCTCTTCACATGCTGGGCAGGACTTCTGTTTTGCAGCAGACTGCCTTGTCTCTGGAATGGATACACGGTGTCTGTGTGTAGGTTTGCAACCTGAGCCAGCACTACAGGAAGAGGCAGTCAGCTGCAAAGGAAGTTCTCCCCCAGCATGAGAAGAGATAAGGAAATAAAAGGAAGAGCAGCAAAGAGAAGGGAAACTACCATGGATTACAGTAAGGCACACATTACAGTATTGTGTTAAAAGATCTGAGGGTTTAATGTCACTTTAAGGTATTTTAATGGATTTTAGACCTTGCACTGTTTTTGTCTCCCATCTCTGAACTTCATATTATGAATATATTTTTGTAAGTCAGGTCTCCAGTATTGTTCCTAGACTCCATCCCCTAGTGACACCGGCAGTGCAATCCCGTGAGATCAGAAGCAGGAGTGGGCAGGACATGTGTCTACAAATGTCACTTGATAAGCTTCTGTAAGACTAGAAGGGTGCAAAAGAAGGGGCCCTGGACCCTGTCGCTGTGCAGATGTACTCTACTGCTTCCAATCAAGTTCTCCCCCAGCATGAGAACAGATACAGATTTAAAAAGGAAGAGCAGCAAAGAGAAGGGACACAACCATGGATTACAGTAAGGAGCACATTACAGTACTGGTTTATGTTAAAAAATCTGAGGGTTTAATGTCACTTTAATGGCTGTCTTATAAAAACATGTTGTGCTTGTATACACACAGTCTAGCCAACACGCAGGTGTCAGGGCCATTATAACCTGACCTGCGTGTTTACCTCCAAACAAGGGACAGATTGACACAATAAAAAACATAACATCATGAAAATGTGTTAATCTATAACTGAAGTGTTATACATCCAATCCCAATGGGTATCTGATTCATAACACAGTATTAAAGATTGTTCAATTCAACACTCTTATGCCCATACATGTGGAAATTTTCTGCCAATTTATCCAGTTTACATCCAATGGGATTGCAAAAAAGATTGCAATTGCTGGAGACTAAGCAAGCACCCACCTACGAGTTTGATCGGACAGAATACAGCTGATTGTAATAAATTGACAGCTTCAATAAAATTTACTGACAGATTGGTTCGAAAAAAGAAAACATTATGGCAATATCTTTGAAAAAAAAAAAGATTGGCTAATTCCACTTCGTTTTTCCTTTAAAACGCCCATTTATGTCCGATTGCTTTGGGATTTCTAAAAAACAACTTTCGATAAAGAGCAAAGACAACCAACCTTTATATGATCAACTAGCAAAGTTTGTTTGATGTTCCTGAATAAAATGGATATAACAGATGGAAACAATACATTGTGATCACATACACAAACCAGTCAAAAAAGTGATTGGATTTCCCACACTTCTAGTCCTATACAGTTTGGGGGTTCCTCCAACTGCCAATGGTTTCAATGTAAAAATGAACTGAAATTATATACACAGACTGCTACATGTATGGCCAGTGTAAGACCCTCTAGGGCAGCAATGGCAGTACTATGACAAACATACTATAAACATATCAATATGTATAGGAGGTTAATGTGTACAGTAAGTTGTTAGTATCTTAGCAAGGTTTAATATATTTCCATGTAAGAAAGGAAAACTAGGCATGAGCCATGCAGGGATGAAATGAAGCTAAAGGTTTCCTTTGAAGCTACAATAAAAATCACATTCAAGATAAATATAGAAGTGTTTCAGAACCATACAGCAGAGATCTGGCTGGCTTCAGTTAAATAGATACAGCTTTAACAACCACCACATGGTGTGCGGACTGCAATAATATTGTGACACCAGACAAGTCAAACAGGTGGCTGAGTTACCTCGGAGAGTAAGAGTGTCTGAACGCCTTGCGAGACGGCGCAGTGGGGATGGAGTGTGATGGCGGAGGGAGGTGTTTGGGCAGCCCATCTGCACTCCAGTCCCACAGCCGGCTGCCGCAAGGAAAAAGGAGGATCGGGGAGAGGACGATGGGTGGAGAATGAAAGGAAAGAGGAGAAAAACAAGGAAGAAGGATAAAATGATGCCATTTCATGCATTCTCAGACAGTTATAAAAAGTTGACAATCTACCAGTAGTGACATAATGTGATAAGTAATCTTTCGAGCAGTGTCTCCCAAACTGTGGTATGTATATGGTATAAGATGGTAAAAGGCAGGACCTAGTTGAGGAACTTACCTCCTGCAGTATCATTCAGAAATGGCAAACTTCGGAGAGAATATGTTTTACTTGCCAGATAGATTTGCTTCTGCAAGCTCAAGCAGATATTTTGGAGAGGCCAAAGCAGTGACTAGGGCCTGGTCTTTACATGGAATAATGAGGAGTGTCCCGTCATAGCTGCTGGATCTGTCCAAGTACACATAATCTTTCCTCAACACCCTCAACTTACCTTCAAAGTCCAAGAAGGAGCCTGAGGGTCCGCAGTCAACCTCCAAAGCCACATTTTAGTCTACCACAAACCTCAGCCTAACACAAACATGGTATCGGATACAGAGCCCGACACACAGAGTTCCAGGGGAAGATCCCCCCTTACCTCCAGATTCCTCCTCTTGGTGAACGCATTTCTCTTTCACGAAAGTCATAAGCCACAGGACTCTTAGTGCCAATCCTGCCGAGCTCTGGAGACTCCTCAACCCCAGACTGAGGATGATGACTTGCTAAAGCTTGACATTCAAGCTCACTATCCCTAATGCCTCCTCCTGCTGCTCCACAGATTCATTTCTCAGCCATAAACCTTTGGTAAGCGCTAGAAATCGAACAGAACCTCTATACAAAAAAGGTCGATTCGGAGGAGTTTATGACAAAAATGTAAGTCTCCTTATAAAAATGAAATTGCAGAAACAAGGTAGTATGTATCTACCATTAAACCTTGACTAGATGCCTTGGGAAAGGATAACTTTCCTACAACAAAAACCAGCACAGTTGGAAAGTTTCTTCAATTAGACAACCAAAACAGCAGAGGCACACAGAAAAACATCTCAATCAGATAACTACCTGAATGCGCTGGCCCCAAGAAGACCCATGGAAACCCAAATCATGCAGCAAGAACTAAACAATGCATATTAGGCACTGTGCCCAATCTGACCAGACCCAAATACGTGATATGCTGGGTCTACTAATATCTTATCAAGGAGTAGATCATAGAACAAGGGCCATGTCCAAAATCAGGCCCAGGTACTGCAAGCGATGGAAGGGTTCCATCAATGACTTCTGGAGGTTCGGGAACAATCCAAAGTTCTGCAGGATTTGTATTGTTTCCTCTGACTCTTACCTGAGAAGATCCTCCAAGTACCCTACTATGGGAATCCCTCGAGCCTAAAGCACTGCCAACACAGAGGCCAGCATCTTGGTGAAGACCCGAAGCACAGTGGACAGGTCAAAAGGAAGGGCAACAAATTAGTAGTGTTGCATGTCCACAGCAAAACATAGGTAGCATTGATGGGCAGGAAAAATTGGGATGTTCAAATATGTATCCTTGATGTCCACTGACATCAGGAAGTCTCCTAAGTGGGTTAACCAACCAGAATTTGGGGACTCATTGAAGCCCACTGAGGATCTACAGATTGACAATAGGAAGGACATTCCCCAACCCCTTGGCTTTGGGGACAGTGGGAGTAAAAACCCCTGTAACCTTTCTCTTTCCAGTACAGCAATACAGGGGGATCTCTGTAAGCTTGATTGCAGAAAGTGAGGAGGTGGCAAGGAGCGAAGCTCAAGATTGTGACCCTTGGTTAAGATTCATGTGGACCCAGGCATTGGGAATGTCCCAAGAAGCCAAGACAGCCGACAATATACCCCAACAAACCCCCAAAACCCTCAACCACAGGTAAAAGAAACTGAGAAACTCATTTTATATAATTCTTGGCGTCTCATTTTGTACAACTAGATATCAAATAATGAAAAATATTGTTTACTGGCGATTGCATGGTTTATTTGTGTATGCTTCTCATAACTTTCGGAGCTTGTAAGACCGTGACAATATATCTTCAATGTCTTCGTACTACATATTATCTGAGATTTGTTAAAGAATTAATTGAAGAAAAAGCGGTCTCTAGTTAGTGACTAGTTAAGTGGTCTGTGAGATTTTGTTTTTAAAATGGTACATGTGGTATCAGGACCGTGCGGGAAAAGAGAGGATGCACTCCTGACCAAAGTCTGGGGAACACTGATCTAAAACACAACGCATTGTGCTGGTCTAATGGAAATACCTAATGGAAATACCTTGAAAAAAATAAAACACAAAAATTATTTTGCAGATCTGCACTCGGAAACCTTAAAAGGAGAACTATGAGGGGGGGGGGATTGTCACTCACCTCATAGTTCTAGCCGACCTGTGACAATGAGACTGTCACAGGTCGGCTCAGTAGATCGGGAAGTGAGCGAACACATACCGGCGCTCGCTCACCTCTCGATCCTGTCACGGCTCTCTGCCGTGACAAGGGAGTGACTGGATTCCCCGCTCCTCCAGCGCTGACTGGCGGAACGGATGAGGGAGGGGGCGGGTACAGCTGGCTCTGCCTCCAGATAGCTGTAGCTCGCGGTATACTGAGCTTAGGGTGACGGGAGGACGCTAGTTTGTGTCCTCCCGTTACCCTTAGGAGAACTATGGGGAAAAACACTGACCCCATAGTTCTCCTTTAAGCACACCCGGATCAACTTACCACAAGTTTCAGACTTCTTGTTTAATTTACAAAATGTGTGTGCTAAACCTTCTATAGTGACGGTCCTGGACATTGAATTCTTCTGGTTTACAATCGTGGGTATATTCTATATCTTGAATGTTACTGTAAATCAATAACCTGGAACCAGCTATAACATTATAGTGCTAATTACTGTACCGAAAGGCACACCGAATTCACAGCGGCTTGTTTATGGCTGAGAAACATGCAGACTCCTTTATCTGCAGAATACAAATAGTTAACCGACAGGTTTATTGGTGCACAGCATTCC